AGGCAGCCAGCAGTTGCCAGAACATCTGCTGTCTCCTGACTTCTCTTGGGTGAGTACCCAAAGCACGGCCTTTCTAAAGTTGGACAGTCGCCTCCACTTGAAACTGGTCGAGTTCAAAGTTCTTAGATTTGTCCTGAGATTTGCAGCTACATGGGAATATATGGTTTAGCGATCTGTGATGTGCAATCAAGTGTACATTTCAAAGGGATACATGTGTTGTCATGAGGATGCACTGATGTTTTGCCTCCTCTTCCCCTACACCAGTAAGAATCTGGTTGTAGAACATTGTTATTCTGAAGACAGAGTCATTTCAAAGATTAAGAGGTGGAAGGAATGCAAAACCAAACAAAGTAAGTCCTTAATTCTGTAATTGTGCTCATCAAAGGTGTGCTTCTCAGCAGATCTGCTCCTCACCAGTGCCTCTGGGCTGCATGAAACCTGAAGTGTGCAGTGAAGGCTGTTCCTTGTGAAGGCAGAGGTTGCCTCATGTTTGAAAACATGCTTTGGAAGAAGAGACATCTTGTCTGAAAAGTTAGGAGCACAAAATAACATCATTGTAATCTTACAGGAGGAAAGTGTACACAGCAGCCCCCACGTCAACTGTCTTTTTCATATATGAGGAAAATCCTGCCCTGGCAATGTGCGGGGCTCCCACTGACTTCATAATGGGAAATCTATTGCTTATTTAGAGCTGACTTGGCTTCATTTAGAATGTTTTAATACGCCAGTTATTAAAAGTTTCATTTTAGAGAAGCAATGTCAACAGGTGAAATACAGTGACATTGCTCTCTGACCCTGTTTGCTCTTTCTGATGAGTTTCTGCTCAGTTAGTTGTTTCAGGATCCACTGCTGGGCCTGGAGCACAGTTGGAATACCTGGGAGATGCAAGAGGTGTTGAGCTGCCTTTATCTGGTTGATGCTGGCACAGAGCTGTTTGGCACTCTCAGAGTGTGTCTGAACAGCCATCTTGGCTTGAAGTACAAACCGACACTCAGCTTCATCCCCTGAATGCTTGTATGTTTGCTCACTCAGACCTCAAGCTACTTTGGTCGAAGTCTGGACTGAACAAACAGGCTCTCTTATGAGGAAACCTCAAGCTCAGAAGAGGCTGACTCTTACTCAGGCTCGCTCCAGGAGGGCTGGAGGAGCCCTTGACTGTATGAACTCAAACTTCAGACTGAGGTGTGCAACCAAAGGCCAGAGTTGTGATCCCAAGAGCTGCCTCACCCCAGGGTCCTGCCTCCTCCAGCGGCCCTCAGAACTCTTCTGGAGAGGAAGGACACTCCTTGCTGACAACAGCTTTTCAGAAAGCAGGCACCGAGAGCTCTCTCTGTCTTCCTCCTGTACGGCCTCATATGACGTGTGGACACTTAATTTGTCCTTTGGGCACAAGGAGGAGCTGCCCTCACTGCAGGAAGGATCTCTTGCACTGGTGTGCTTCCAGCAGAGCAGGACGAGAGAGCTGGTACCAGCACTATCTGAGCACAGAACAAGACAGTCCTGAAAAACTGCAGCAGGTCTAGAAAGGAGATAGAAGCGATTGCTACTCAATTTACAGCATTATATCTCAAAATTAAGCAGGCATATGAAAAATGCATGAAAAATATATATTTAGCTGTATTTTAAAGTGAAACTTAATACCCTATGTTAGTGTATAGCACTCTCTTACCAAGAAAACTAATTTACAGGCAAAGAAAGAGAGCTTAAAACTAAGAGACTGTGTTTTTAAATAACCTAAGAAAAATGCATACTTAGTTACCTTTTATTCTCCTGCTGTGTGTGCCCTGAGCTGGCCCGGGGAGTTCTATGAGGTAAGAAATTCCTGCTCAACAAAAGTTCCTTTTCTAAAAAAAGTGAACATAATGGAAACGGGGAACCACTTACCAGGCAGCTGAAAAAGGAGCTGACTGTGCAGAGAATTTCACACCTTACGGCTTTTGGTCAGTAAAGTACATAAACAAAATGTAATTTTCTATGCAATTACAGAGGGTCACACAAGAATATTATGTTTTAGAAACCCACTCAAAAGCATATTGCTCACTAAGAGCCCAGTCCGGAAAATGGTTACTCACTTTAGTAAAGTTGCTGGTAAGCATTTCTGGGAGCAGGGCCTAGGAGACATTTTCCTTGTTATGCTTTCTTAAACAGTTTATGTGATAGTAACAACAGGAAGATAAATTACTTTGAATGGTAGCAATTAGAGAAATAAGGACTGTGATAGATTTACCATGTGGAAAACATCTCTCACACATTTTCATACAGCCATTAAATGTAGTTTTAATGACACAACACTGATTTCAGAAAGAAACAAAGTTTATTTGATGAATATAAACAAGATGATCAACACTAAATACTTCCCATACACATGATAACAATGTTATGAACTCTAAATACCTTGGTACTTTACACTTCTACTAGACATTAAATTACAATGACTGTCTAATACATGCCCACTGTTAATTTCTAGGAATTCCTTAGTTTCATATCGATATCCTTAACCACATATCAATATCACAATCCAGAACATGCCACTCACTTGAAAAAAGTATTACAAGAAGCACTATCAAATGAGGATCTAAGGTTATTAGGGAATACTGACCCATTGCTGCAGAACATCACATTCAAACGTCACCCTACACACAGAAAAAAAAAAAACAACATTGCAGGTATAGTTTGTGTCAACACATCTGAGGTCTTCTCATAAACACTGTTTAAAAAGTAAATTGAAACTCACTTTCAAATGAAAGTCAATGTGCAGGTACGTGCATACTGGATACACAAAATTCATTAAATACAAAATTCATACTGTACATTTAAATGAAAGAAAGAATGCGAAGTACAAGACTGATCTCACATTAAAATAATAATCATTATCTTAAGTGTTAACCAAAAGTTGGTTTGCTTCTTTACACTTCAAGGGGGAAAAAAACTACCAAACATTGCTCAAATAAAATATTTTCCCAACATCACAGTGTTTATTGTAAACCCCGAGATTCTATTTTAGTATATGAAAAGATTTTCTGCAAACATCATAGAGTATCACATGAAATGAAAAACAAAAAGAAAAGGAAAAAGAACGATAAAGAAAGCAATGTTAGACAGAGTTTTCCTCCTTAGGGCTAAACTGTAGGCCCTGATAAAAGTTTAGATCAATACTCTTACCAACATGAATGGAGCAAAAATGCCCCGAAAGTAATACCTGTGACAAAATTGGCACATACATATAAATATCTAACTATACAGCTTTGCGCCTGACCCTATTTCCCCCTAGTTTATTTCCTACTTCAAGTATTCAGTTGCAGAGTTAAGGTTAAGACCTGATTGTAAGAGACACAGACGATTGTCCCCTACTGTGACAACAAATTTGTCACAAGAAACTAAGCTTTGTTGTCTGAGTTTCCAAGTGCAACATTTGTCATATGTGCTAAATATACTCCCAAAAGCTTTGCTGTTTCAAAACAAAGATCTAAAATGCCATTGATAGTTAAAGGACAAACTTTTTAAACATGAATGAAATTTGGATTATCTATGCTATACTAATTCTATACATTTTCTATCTATGGAAAACAGTAGCATCCAGCAGGACTCCTGCTCAAATAAATTGCTCTTTGACTGCACCATGAATTATGGTACAAATAAATAAAATATCATCTCTAGACAATCACTTTAGAGGGGTATATGTATGGCTCATGTAGGATGTTTAGGGTTAATTGCACCACAGGTTCAAAAAATATTTTTTCTAAATTCAGTGCAAGACTTTAGGAGTATCCACTTACATTTTTCTTTTTTACAGCAGCAAAGAAAAACTACTAAGGATTAAGGCCACCCATGCTTAAATTTATTGTTTGTCCTTTAAAAATGTAGATATTCTATTCCCACTCCCATCACCGTGGAAGCATTTCTCCCACGGATGAAAAGATGCCCCAATAAAACAGCCAAACATTTGTAGGTTTGCCAGACTGACCAAAAATGTTCATGGAGTCACAAGGATCCTCTCCTCAAGAAGTAGCAGACATTTATCTATCAGTTAATATTCTCTCACTGAATGTAATGACTTCACATTTCTGTTTTTCCTTGCATGTGCTTTAAATTTATTTCACTAGACGTATTTTGGTGATTCAGACAGCCTCTGTGGGCTGTTTGTTCATTGTTATTTTCTTCTTTAACATCTAAAAGTCATTGGGATCCATGTTAGAGACTGTTTTTCAACACAGAAAATGATAACAAACAGTTCCTCATTTACAGGAGACCTAGTGCATATACTGTATTCACAGCAATCTTACTTTATTTTTATTTTTTTAAAGAGTCCCAGCTTTCATTGTTGAAGATCTGTATGCATTTGGATGGTAAAAGGTTGATACATCCTTGTGTATATGTCCATATAGTCCATATATATACAAACATATGTATTTATATACGCCTCAAGCTTTTACCATCCAGGAATAGATACATCTTGTTTATAATTGTATATTTATGATCAAATTAGATGTCCTATGCATTGTCAGAGACACACACCATATTTTCATAGAGTTAATCTTTGCCATCAGTTATAAGTACCAAAAATTGATTTCATTTCCAACCTGGCCCAGAGCTTAATACCGGTTATACTATCTATGTGATTTTTTCCATTCTTTTTTTGTTGCTATTTTTTTTTCTTGTTTGTTTGTTTGTTTTCATTTTGGTTTGTTGTTGTTGTTGTTTTTTAATTATAATTATCAGTAGATATAAGAAAACAGAGGAGGGTAAAGGCTTGATTTTAATTTTTTTAAAAAGCCCACATCTAATTGGGGTTAAGATTAATGCCAACACCCGTTATATAACATTATACTAATACCTCTTTGATAATCTAGTGCAATAGAAGTTTTAGAATAGTCTAGGTAAAATCAGCAAATGCAGATGCCATACCTAAATTTCCTACATCTGAATTACTTATTAAAATCAATATCAATTTACCAAAAAAGATTTACATAACCTGATTAAATGAACTTCATTAAACAATAATATTTGAACACTTGGTTTGTTTGTGAAAACAGTGATGTGCAAGACCCATTAAAGATAGAAATAAAGCTCTTGTAATTTCTGCTTGAGTCTCCTTCATTGTTTTACGAAGTATCTAATTTCACAGCAGACTACAAGAAATAATGGAGAAGATGCCAATTAATGCAGCATTTCATTAGATATCAACCTTAGCATTCATTTTCTGCATCTGTGATCTTCTCCAGGATATCATGGTCATGTTTGGAGATCCAATGCAATAGATTATCATCATAACTTTCCAGTGATACATTTTTTCTTCCTCTTTCACTAGTTCCTCTGACAACTGTAACAAGGAAACAAAATACTCCAATTAATAACACATTTCAAGAAGCAACATTCTAGTTCTCATCTAAACGAGCTTTTCATCAACATCAGTAGGTATATTGCTTTTCTGGGCACTGAGTATTAAGTGAGGATTAATTTGATTTGAACCCACTTGATACACTTAAAGGGTGGCAATCTTTTCCATAGAAGATTTTTATGACAAGATTTCCCCTAAATGGGAAAGATTTTAAATTCCAAATATATGGAATTCTGTGTGTGTGATTCTGCAAATGAGGAGTTTTCTGGTCTTCTGTACAGGCACAGTAGCTTTGAAGTGGAACTGTTATTAGTAAACCTAAATGTTTCGTTTGGAAACCAAAGGAATTGTCCATTTATTTCTGCCATACGGTCAATGTCGGTTGTTCTCCATGGCTGGCACTGCTGAAATAAAGGGAATGGTGCAAGCCTGAATCAGTCAGTGGAAAGTGTCTTCTGTCACTCATGGGTTTGGAAGAGGCTCTGTCTGATTGCAAGTGACTGTGGCATGAGGCCTGAATGATTTGTATTGTTACACCAGCTTGGCTGCAAGCAGACGGCACAGTATTCCTCAACAAGGGCAGTGAATTAGTCTTATTCACAGTATCTGTATCTCAGATGAGTGGGAGGAATTAAATGATTCCACTACAGGGCAGTTGTTCTTTTATCCACTGACTTTGTTCCTAGAGAAGTGGAAATGCATTATGTATGGGACTCTCTGCTGCTAAGCTTGCATTTATGTAAGCAAAGAGTTTCCAAAACATCCGTTTTTATAAAAAAGAAACTGCTGCTGAATTTTTACACTTCTGCATGCAGCAGAAAAAGTGTTGTGTTTTCTACTAGAACTTTTTTACTAAAATGCCTCTTTAAATTCTAGAAGCTAATATTTAGCACAGTAATTACACTATGAGTAAAGTGCAACACTTTGTCTAGAATGCAAACAAATAAACTTGCAAATCACTTTCAGTCTCTGTTTTTAAGTTCCTCCCTCTATGGCAACCCCATATAATGGTTTATCTAACACAAACTTAGATGAATGGTTTTACTTCTCCATTGGGAAGTTGGTACAATTCTTCTGGTTAAAACACTTCAGGACTAATCCAAAGCCCACTGAAATATGGAAAGATTCCCATTGATTTTAACAGACTTTGGGTCTGGCCTGTGAATGAAGAAAAAATGACTTCTGCAGAGCTGGAAAGCCAGGGAGTTCCTAAAGTAGATCATGTTACTAGTTCTGGCACATAAAATCTTTGTGAACTTTTTATGAAAACTGTAAGTCAGAGCATGCGTGACGTTTCGTGAACTGTGCATAGCTCCCATTCTTTTGTGTGCTGAGTGTATCTTAATCATCATTCAAAGAGATATATAGGCATAGGAAGCACCCATATAAATTAACAAAGAGAGTACATTCCAGAAACCTTAGCACAAAATTGTCCATTTTTTTAACAGGTTCTCTACAATATAATCACAGCAAATTTCCAATATACTTGATATTTTACAAGCTGAAGTTCCTTTGCAATTAACATTCATTCACACGCTCAAAAAGAAGCCAGAATAGAGAGTCCAATCTGAGGAGCAGCAGCCAATCACAAAACGCAATCTCTCTTCAGCTTGCTCCCCAAATTTTCATAGTGCTTTTAGTACAGAATGAAACTCCCACATAAACCCCACCCACTTAATCAACCCACCCCATTCATCAGGAAACCATACACGTATTGGGAGTGTAACAAAAACTGGCTCACCACAGGTAGGAAATGCAAAGTATTTCTCAAGTAAGTCAAATAAATATATAAAAGGATATTGCTGTCAAATACCAGCTGAGGTTGAGTAAATTAAATTTATATTTGTTTCCTCAATACTGTACTTGGGATAGGTCAGTGAACCTCTAAAATGGAAATAAAGTTTGGTAATGTGTATTATGCCCGAGATTCAGGAGTGCTGCAGCTGAAATCAATGTCTTATGAGTTTGGCACCTCTGACGGTCCATTAGATACCAATCAATGAAAACAGCAGAAGGATGTGAAGATATAAAAGTGTAGTAGCCCACAAATATTTGTTCAGATTGTTTTTCCTTTGGATAAAGACACCTGCCTGATTACTACTTTTTACCTCCAATCCTTTCCTCTCAGCAGTGATTTGCAGAAACAAGCTGGGAGAGGGTGGGTAAACACAAAGGGGTTAAAGGGGAAACTGTTTAATAACAGTAGTAAAATGCAGGCTATTTTTGACATCTGGGTTAATGTCCATTATGCTCCATATGCTTTCCAAATGTTTGCAACAAGCACCCAGATACAAAAACAGATACCCATTCACATAGGCTTAAATTGCCCTCTCCTAACCTGTTACACATGGTACCTACATAAAAGGCCAACAACTGATATGGTAATTAGTGAGTCAGAAAGAGAGGGAATAGCCAGTTTATTGTAGGGAATTGGTATCTGACCAAATGTTAGCAGAGAAGGATATCATTAATGAAAACCTGTTAGGGCTATTTCTGCTCCCTAAGTTACAACAAGACATCTGCATTATAATGTGCCATCTTTTAAAAAGCTGTCAGGATGAATTCCTCTGTTTCCGTCTCTGAGTGATTTATCATTACTACAATCAGAGTACTAACAAATGATGTGAAATTATTTCATTTTCTGGAAACAAGTAACTAGACTAAAAAGTAGTAATGCACAAACAAGGCTATAACTCATGAAGTCCTTTTCAAGTAACCCCTGGAACTCGGCTGTGCCTCTTGCAACAACAAAATCGAAATGACATGAATTAAAAAAAAAAAATGCATTCTCAATTTTTATTTTTGCTTGCCCAGACTCATGAAAAGAATGACACGATTAACTAAGACAAAGCCCTGGCAGGGCACTAAGCTGAATTCTGTCCCATGCCATTAGCTTATTGTGTGACTAAGGAAAAAGCCACATCATTCTTGTGTGCTTAACTTGCTCTTTGCTATAGCAGGGATAACATCAGGCTCCTCAAGGAATTTGCAAGGCTTTATGTTTTTAATGTGCCTTAACCATCTTGGAAGAGTGCTAAGCATTATTATTTCTCAGTTCCTGCATTTGATTAAAAATGAAACAACATAGTAAAAATTAAATTAATATATTAAGTTACAAGTAAGGAACAAGAACGCAGCTTGCGCAGCTACCTGTAGGACTTTTTATACCAACACATATTACAGACTAGGTGATTCCCAAGGTATGCAATGACATGCATCATGAGGGCATACCTAAACAACTGCAGAATCCTCCCAGATGTTTGATTTAGCCAACAAAATCTGCTCATGGCTTCTGTGCAAGCCCAGAGTTTGGGCCAGTAGGAACAGCACTTTGGGCTGTTTTCCCCCCTCTCTGAAGTGCAGTTGCTAACATGATCACAGTCCAGCTATTTGCAACTCAGCACAAGGAACAATATTGAGTAGCACAGATCTGCTGGAGTGCTTTCCCCTACATAGTTCCCTTAATGTAAGGTATGAAATGGTACGATATAAACAACTCTGTCATTACAGCCCCCAAAATAAGTATGTATTTTGCTACTTGCACCTGGCCTAATTCTCATGGAAAGAATGAAAACCCACCCCTCACTTTCTAAAGAATGCAGTATCCTGCTGAAGTCTGTCATATCGATGTGAAAACCCTCCACAGGGAGGGCCAGCAAGAGGAATAATTAAGACGTAAAGTTGCATCCAGCCTATGCGGAAAACTTCCAGTGCCAAGATACCAAAGACACCTAAGACACTTGTTAGCTGAGTGAAAAGGTAAAATCTAGTTTAAATTTATAGCATTCCTTCAGTGTCCCTCTAGGAGTTTGGCTTTTTGCCAGTGTTCCTTGTTAAAAATTTGTTAAACGTGTTTGGCATTAATGCAAACACAAAGTGCTCATTTGTTACAAATTCTATTGGAATGCATTCATTTAAGGCAATGAAGTAGTTACCAGAAAAGAAAAAAATGTTCATTAAGTACATTTTAAAAATACAATGATGTATGCGGTGCATAACTATGGCGCCCCAGTGGCTATATAAATATCTGACAGAATAACCACAAGTTGTGTTTGGTTTGAAATTGGAATCTTTTAAACATAACCGATTGAACAAAAACTGGTTTTGTTTGTTGTCAAAACTGATGTTAGTCCTTCTTGTTTAGAACTAGTTACAATAACCGAAGTTTTGGTGTACGATTTCTTACGTCTCAGATCAATAAAGCACACAGGTTAAAGTAATGCTAGAGGAAGTTTCCTCATTCAAATGGTAAGTGCAGCACTGCACACTATCTGGAGAACACTGAACACAAAATGTAAACAGCCTGCTCGGAGGAGAACAAATTTTAGTCATTCTTAAAAACTCCACTTAAGGAAATGTTACCTGGGAGATCTGCCACTGCCTGGCCACACAGAGCTACAGTACCAGGGCTAAAGGTGTCTCAAAACCCACCGAGCACATACCAAAAGAAATAGCTCAAACCCAGTTTACAGATTTCTAATACAAAGGCTGTCTTTTGTAATAACTTTTGTAATAACGTGAAATATCTCCAGTAATGACCATTCTTGATTTTGAATCAACAGTCCTGAGGCATTTTTTAAACTAGAAAATATCTTCTGAGCTACGTTATAAAAGTAGAACCATTTTTCCATTCACTTCTATCCACTTCATACTCATTTACAACAATGACAAATATGAATGTAAAATATATTTCAAAAGAAGGATCTGTAAATGGTGTGATTAAATAAAATATCAAAAGATTCACAAGTACCATCAGCATAAAAAGTTATTTATGAAGACAAAATGAACTTTGTTCCAGTTCTGGCGAAGATATTATTTATCTCATTTGTTGCTATTTATGTTTTAAATTCATTATACAGTAAACTTCAGAAGAATCTGCAGCTGGTGGCAGAATCACTGTGTGAACGTGATGAACTTTCCATATTGTTAATCTGAGTTAGGGATAAAAGCAGATACCACTGGGATGAATAAAATCCAATGGA